AAATATGTTTACTATTAGTTTCTCTTCATCCAATCATTGTCTGCTCGTATCACCCTTATTTTGGGTATTGATCATTATGTTATTAGGTATACTCATCGCACTTGTTATGACCATTCTCAAATACTGCGCCATTCATCCTCTAGGAAAGAAAACACGAAGGGGACTCAAAGAATTTTTTAAGCACTTCGATCTTATTGGCGAAGGCGATTTGTGGATAGGTGGTATAGTTAGTTTTGCTATTCTTATCCTAGTTATATTCGCCTATGTGTTCAGTAATGGCTACTTTTATCGTTATCCCATCGAAGAAATCAGTGGTAATGCTACATTTGCTTGTGATCTAACCTTATCGAACGCTCAATTCAGTACCCGTTTGATGTCTCTGGTGGTTCCTCCAAAAGCCGATGAATTATCCATATTTGAACTTCTCAACGCTCAGCTATTTACACTGCATGTTGACTTTGTCAATACACTTTTTTCATGCGCGGATGTGACCCTAACACAAATCAAGGACGTAAATCTACCTCTCCCCATTTCGTCCTGTAATAACAGCGATGGCAGCTTATCACTTGCAGCTACTTTACCATCACATGGTGTGAATTTACAGTTTCTGCTCGCTGGTATCAACACTATCGGTGGTGTTCGTCTAGCCCTTGAAGGATCGGGTACTCAACAGAAGAATGACATTCTCCAGGCTAGTTACACGCTTGTCGATATCACATTCGCACAGGCATTTTCAGCTCCTGGTCTCGTTCTCACACAACAGCCATCGCTCACACTTCAGCTCACTAAAGTGATTAATCGCACTTATCCACTTACTAAAGACGGCCAGACACAATTGAGTGGTATTTGGATGCCTTACGTTTCGACCGATATCAATCAGATCTTTGTTAATGAAAATCAGTATATATATGCCATAAGTTCGAATACAATACTTTCTCTCGTCATAAGTGAGACACCATATTACGTATTAAACACGCAACGACCGATCGTCGAAGAGGCCGAACTTATCTTCACGAACATTCTATTCACCATTCTATGCATGGAGGTTTTCGGTTTGATGTTCCTCATTTTCAAAGTTATAATTGCCCCACTTTTCGGATGTTTCCATAATTATTATCAACGACAAAGTACGACAGAAAACTCACTGGCAAACAACTTCGATTTGCCACAAGTATCTCTTTGTCGCTTTTAATATGCGCGCTTGCAAACAGATGTTTTCTGTTCTTAATGATTCGTATAGGTGTTAACTGATTTCGAATAAATCGACTGGCGGATCACAATTCTATAAAAACTCGTCTTTAGCCAGACCAGGGTGTGTGTGTGGGTGCGAGTGTGGCAGCGGGTAGGGATTGGTGTGGGTGTCGGTTTTTGCTGATGAATAGAAATACATCCACACCCTGCAGATTGATATCCACACCCTTTCATTCATTTCATTGGCAGTTCATTGCCCTTTCGCGATTTATTTGAAAAATAATTCAAACATCTTTCATGAGTTTATTCGAAAGAAAATCGTTGAACACGATGATTATACCTATCGGTGACATAGAGATTACCATGTGGATCGAAAGACAAATCCTCTGGGCTGTAGAATTGATTTGCTCTAGACCCAAGGCCATTTCCACCCACCATAACAGTGCCTTGTTTCTTGTCTGTTTGAACCCAACGTATCACTCGATGATTTCCTGAGTCTACCACATGTATGGCACCCAATGTATCGATGAATAGTCCGTGAGGAGACGACAACTGTGTCAGAGCACTCCCTTTT